GGGGGAAGGAAGAAAGGAAGGGAAGAGATGGATGGAAGGAAGGAAGAACAAATTTAGAGGGAGGAAGAAATGGAAATAGAGACAAAGAAGAGGAAGGAAAGAAGGTAGGAAGGGAAAGGAACAGATGGATGGATAGATGGAAGGAAGGAGAACAAGATTAGAGGGAGGAAGGAAGAGATAAATAGAGAGACACAGAAGAGGAAGGAAAGAAGGAAGGAAGGAAGGAAGGAAGGAAGGAAGGAAGGAAGGAAGGAAAGAGATCAAGATCAAAAAGTCTTCCTGTTCAATTACATCCAGAGGAAGGGAAAAAGACAATTAAAAAGCTGATCTCTTGCACAGAAATGGTAACTTAGGGAAGTTGGATTGGCTGAACGGTCATATAATCGGATGCGGCTCACTCAATAGCCTTGCCTAACAGTGGAAATTCCAATCCCAACTGTGTTTGTAAGTTGAGGACTATTTGTGTACAAATATTTGTGTACAGTCCATCGAGTGACCATTCAAAGTTACAACGGCACTGAAAAAAGGGACCGTTTTTTTTTTCCCCACACGGCCACTGCAGCTTCTCCGGGGTCACGAGATCAAAATTCAGGTAGTGGGCAACGGAATCCTGACAGGAAGGCTCAGCAAGGGCAGCACAACTACCATGCGTCTTACTGTAGGATGTACTCCGTGGTGTGATTCAACCGGTGTTAACAACCGGTTCGGCGAGTGCGTGCTTTGAGTGCTTTGCGCACGTGCTCTACACTTTAAAAAAAGCACATTTTCAACTCAACTCCTTACCTTCTACTGCAGCCCCAGTGACTAAAACAGCTGAGGCGTGGCAAATTGCTCTGCCACGCGAATCAACGGAAATACAAACAAGGAAATAAAGCACAGAAAAGGGCAGGTGGGCAAGGCCAAATGCTTACTGGAACTACCAGTTTGCCCAAACTGGTCCAAACTGGTCCGAACCGGTCAAATCCCACTCACCAATGCTGGAGGAGTTACGCTTGTAATTCTCCCCAAAGGAGACCAGGCTGATGGCGATGGTCTGCAGGAAAGGCCGGATCGAAGGAGCAAACTGCAAAGATCAAGAATCAACATGAGAAGTAGCCAGCAATCCTGGGTTGTTTTTTTTTTTCCCCCGACACCCAAACTCTGCCTGCCATACCAACTCCAGCTCCAGAACTGAATTTATATTTATTACTGAAATGTATTTTATTTATTCGTGTCAGAAGCAACGCAATTAAAATAAGGCATACTGTAGGACATACAATTTAAAGCATAAAATGGAAGGCTAGAATGGAGTGGAATGGAATGGAATGGAATGGAATGCAGAATGTGATGTGATGTGATGGAATGGAATGGAATAGAATAGAATAGAACAGAATAGAATGCAGAATGTGATGTGATGTGATGGAATGGAATGGAATGGAATAGAATAGAATAGAATAGAATAGAACAGAATAGAATGCAGAATGTGATGTGATGTGATGTGATGGAATGGAATAAAACAGAATTCTTTATTGGTCAAGTGTGATTGGACACAAGGAATTTGACTTCGATGCATCACTTCTCAGTGTACATAAAAATTATAAGTCATAAATCATCATCATAGTCATCATAAAAATACTTTCCTCATAAATCATAAAATACAACAGTGATAGAATCAACATAAATCGTATTACGAAACTAAATAAAACATTATAAATCGTAAAGATACCAGCAACAAAGTTATAGTCATAAGTAGAGAAAGAGATGGGTAATAGGAAAGATGAGAATAATAATATTAATGCAGTCTTACTAAATAGTGTGACAGTGTTGTAGGAATTAGTTGTTTAGCAGACTGATTCTGGTGTTCAGTGCCCTATAGCGTCATTTTGAGGGAAGGAGTTGAAACAGTTTATGTCCGGGATGTGAGGGGTGTGTACATATTTTCACAGCCCTCTTTTTGACTAGTGCAGTAGACAGGTCCTCCATGGAAGGCAGGTTGGTAACCAATGTTTTTTCCTGCAGTTCTAATTACCCTCCGGAGTCTCTGTCTGTCCTGTCGGGTTGCAGAGCCAAACCAGACAGTTACGGAGGTGGAGATGACAGAGTCAATCCTTCCTCCGTAGAACTGGCTTTGCAGCTCCTTGGGCAGGCTTGAGATTGTTGAGGTACAAATGAAACAGATCTTGCCCAGAAACTAGCAACGTGAATTGCAGTTCGGTTACGCTGCCCTGAGCTCAAGTATCCATGGATCGAAGACACAAAGGGCAGATAGGCATATGTGCTGTTGTCACCGCAATCAGCAAAGGGCAGAAGTCATCAGATAGCCACAGCAAGGCTGAAGAGGGACAGGCCAGAGCTGGAAAGAGGAGG